TAGATCTAATACATTTAAAAGTCTTTGTAACGTGCACACACTGATCCAGATGTTTCAAACACACAGAGGCTCCAGCTGCTGATGTGAGTCAGAGCAGAAGCTGCTGACTCTGCGTGATAAAAATAATTCAAGTCCTTTAGCTAATATCTAAATTAGTTTTCAAAACATTGCATCAAATGTTTACAGCTGTGTGAGAAATACCATGAACATTCTAACAACGGTGCTCTACAGTATGTTGGCGAGACAATTACAAGCAGCTCAGGCTGCGAACTTATCATACAATTTATTAGGTCTTAAAATTAATTGCATTTGATATTCAGAGTGACTCAAATCAGTTGATTAAGATTTAGAGTTTTTAAATTTTTAGTGTAAACAATAAAAACATTGACCATAAAATACAAGTGTTAACTTATCGGTGAAGTTCAAGGTCCCTGGACTTTAAATGTTGATCTTTGAGAGTGGACGAGTCAGCTCCTCCCAAATATTCAGTTTATAAAAGTGGCTGAAAGGGTGAACCAGCACACGTTAAATACTTAGTATTCACTTTATGAAAAACAAAGCTGACATGTGAGGGACATGGAAGAGCTTGGTGTGAGAGGAGCCTCTGCTGTCGTCTCACAGGTGAGTGTCCTCGTCTTCACCTGGGTCCGCCTTGAGTTTGGCCAGAGCGGCGTGAATCCTGAACTGAGTGCGAGACTCCATCGAGTAATCTTTGTAGTTTTGTCTGCAGGGCACAGCAATGATGAGAGGAGAGTCACAGTGGATTATTTACTGTGCACAGGCAGACAGCGACCTCTAGTGTTCCACACATGTCTATCAACTGAGCACTGAATCATGAATGTTGCTGTTGACAGAGGCTCAGACGTGGTACTGAGATCAGCCCTGAGTGATCTCACCACAAAAACGCATCCTGAATGTGTCTCCAGTGATTGACCAACGCTCTTTATGCAAAAGTTACGTGCGTCATTCCTGCTCAACCAAATTACGTTTGGATCCTGACCACAGATGTGTCAGCGTGTCGACAAGTATATTTGCATGAACAGCAACATTCTGATATTAATCCCTTTAGGAAAATACTGTGAATAAAACATGTAAATCGCTTCTGAATAAGGTGAAAGAATCAATAATCAGATAGAGACGTGTTTTCTGACCTGAGTCTCATGATGTAAACATGTGGAAAACAGTGTATTAAACTAATTCAGGTCGAGGTTTTAAAACTGGTGGAATAACATCAAACTTAATGGTGAGAGTCAAAGTCAGACTAACGTGTAAACAGGAATATGTCTTATACTGAATAAAGTCAACAGTCAGAATATCAGTGTCCATGTGAACATGCTAGATAAAAATATCACATATTCCATAGACGCAAATATTTCTCTGACATGTTCTACTTTGTTCTGCTGCAGGATCTTTCTGCTGAATCTTTCTGGGAGGATCTTACTTGGCCTTGTGCAGCAGCTTGATAGCCTCGTCCCTTCGGCCTTGGTCTATGTAGAGCAGGCTGAGCTCCACCACAGAGTTGGGCACCAGGTAGTGGTCAAACCTGATCTTCTTCTCACTGCGCACACACAGAAAGTCGGTTGATCACATAACCGTCGCTGTCGTCTCGTGGAACCCACATTTAAAGTCAGAACTTTGTGCTCAGAGTTGTTGTGTGGTGGACGTTTGGTTTTGTCCCTGTTGGGGATGTTGTCTGTTAGATGGAGCTCACCTGGAACACACTCTCTTTAGGCTCTCCTCAGCATCTTTCAGGTGACCCTGGTTCTTCCAACAAAGACCCTTCAGCAGGTGGATCAGGCAGCGGTCGTCCACTGAATACTCATTTTCTGCAGAGGAAAGAACACACTCCATTATCCCTGGTTACAGGAAGCAGAGAGAGGGGGCAGGGCTGGACGTGCTGCATTACCTGGAGACTCCTGCAGGCTGCGCTCTGCATCCAGCAAAGTCTGCATCAGGCCTTCCGTCAGCTCCGGCCGTTTGCTGATCATACTGAAACCATTCCACATGTACATCATCTCCTGTAACCAAGCAGAAAATAATGTTGCAAGGCTTTGTGTGCCACCAAAGATCCCAAAGTGTGTGTGTGTGTGTGTGTCTTTACCAGCACTGGCACCGGTAGCCTGACTGGGCACGACGCCTTGTAGCGTCTGGCTTTACGAATTGCAAACTTCTCAGTCGGGGGAGACTTTCCTGCGATCTTCTGCTTGAAGGTGGGCACTTGTCTAAAGACAGAGGAGAGAAATGAAGACTAATGTGGAAAGAAAGCAGGGGGCGCAAGTGAGTCGACGTGAAAACTTGAATACGCCGATTTCCTGACATAACAACTAGTTTGGAAACTAAATCGATGGCGAAGAGCTCGTCAAACTACGACAGATATTTATTAATCAAAGTCGAATGTTCCAGTGTACAGTCAACAAGGGTGTGTCAAAATGAAGACGTGACCCGTTTCTGGACTAATCGATGATTCAGATAACAGAGTGCGTAACCAGGGACTTGTAATCTTTGTTCTAACAGACATCTGACTAACCTAAGACTGTCTCCGTATATTGCACAAGATGTATTTGACGTTAAGCCTCCAGAGTTATGTTCCTACTTGTGTCTAGATTTACTGAGAAGTTCAGATCCATTTTACAGCTCGTGTCCCTTTCAGATACAAAGTGAACACGTCGGTAAAAAGTACATTCAAGCTAAAACAGCTTCTACCTGAAGAGTTCTACTTCGTCCTCTCCAAACGGCCTGGCCTCCTCCTTCGGCAGCATGCTGAGGTACGCAGCTTTCATGTACACATACATGGCCTAACAGAGAAAAACACAGAGACGGGATTCACTCATTTTGCTCCTGCAGATGTTCGACAGGAGCAACGGAAGAACCTCGGCTCCGCACCTTGGACCAGCGGCTCTCCTGGCTCAGCAGGTCTGCGTAGAAGTACGCCATCTTCCACGCTCGCTTGTAGGTGAAGCACCACATCAGCTCCCAGTAGCACATGTGGTGGAACTGCTTCCACGTCTGCTGGGCCTTGCAGCCATCTTCAAACAGCGCCACCGCCTGGCAGCAGCAGCACCATGTAGGAGAATAGCATGTAAGAGCGACACTGAATTTGAGATGTGTTGTGTCATACTGACATTGGTGCTGGTGCTTTGGAGCTCAGTGGCTGAAACATGCTTCACTTACTCCGAACAAGGAGCTTTTACTTGATACTAGGTGACACTAGTCCCCATTTAATCCATGTTATTGACACAGTTCCTGAAACACACCTCATCAATGTTCCCTTTGATTTCTTCAGTCCTTCCTGCAAAGAAGAGGAATATTGCTCCCTGGACAGAAGAGAGGAAAGAGAACAATGCATATTAATTAAATTCTTATCTATTTGCAAGAGAGCTGCTGCACAGCAATTACACTAAAGTTGTGTTTAACCAAGACACAGTTTGCTCTCAGGGATGGGCTGGTATGTAGGCAGAAGGTGGAGTGGAACCAGGGAATGTGAATTCACTAGAGCCGGAGAGATAGCGCCGAGGTGCGCGGCTAAATTGAAGGAAAGACGGTGCAAGGATTGATGGCGCAGGAGGGAGCGTGTGAGTGGAAGGTGGAGTGAGTTTCACATGAGCACAATCAGGGTGTGGGACTGAACGAGAGAAAGAAAAGAGATGTGAGGAGGGAGTCGTGTGAAAGGGCTGACGATGCAGTGAGAAAAAAAAAAAAAGAAAAGACCGAGAAGAGGTTTAAGTGTCGGAGAAAAGAGAACAAATGTTTGAATGAGGAACTAAAAAACAACACAAATCCACAAAAAGAGCAACATGCACTTCTGGCTCTTAACACCTCGGTGCAGCTTGTTTTTGTAGTTTTGTTTCTATCAGTTATGACTCGACGCAGAATCTGAACCATTTCAATACGTCCACAGGGTTTGAACAGAGAGTTTCTCCAGAAGGATCTGAGACTCAGTCCAATGTGGCTCCATGGAGACGAGGCACGAGAGTTACCATCACGACTCACCCGCGGGTAGAGACGCAGAAAAGGTTTCAGCAGCCGTTCAGCTTCAGCGACTTCTCCTTCACCCGTTCCTGAGAGGATCAAAACATGATACTGTGATATGAACTCGTATATGATATGATATGTGATATATATATATAATGCAATATATGAAAAACAGTGTGTTGAATGTTACATGCGTATAAAGTTCAGAGGCGGTACAGCACTACCTAGTATGAACGTGAGGAAGGTGTAGTAGCAGAGCAGGAGCAGAGCACACAGCATGGAGCGCAGGTTCATCCCTGTGGCTCCGTCATGCAGCAGGGACAGACCATATTCCTACAACAGCACCACACATGTAGAAAACATGCACGCGTGTATCGTGGACATGACATGCGCCTTTAACGAGTGAGCACATGAGGAGCAAAGGGAATCTACATCATACCTTGTCTCCCGAAAAGCCCGCAAACTCCAGAAGCCTGAGTATCCGTGGAGGAAACAGAGAGAGTGTCTGTGAACGAAGGAGACCAGATGATGAGGGCTGAACAAACACGGGATGGTATTTGAAGCGTGGTCCACTTGTCGTGTTGATAGATGGAAAGAGTTTTGGGACGTACCAGATTAAAAGCCCCGATTCCAAACGAGATTCCTCCCGCTAAGTGCAGGTGACTGGGTCCTTTGAGACACGTGTTGGATTTAATGAGGGTGTGTAGTTCTCTGGATGATAACAGACAACACGGGTCAGCAGCATTTAAAAAACTCTAACTTGATGGGGCGATGAACCCAAAGCATCCCAGATACTAACACAGCCAGCGTGAGTCGGCCTCAGCTGTCAGTCACGACATTTCACTGTTTTTAAATGAAGACTTGAACACGCATCAGGGTTTTACCGGAAATAAAAGAATCCTTGACAAGAAAGTATTTGGAACTTTTAGTTTGGTAGAAAGTTCCCTTTAAATAATAAGAACACACCCATTCTAATAACTTCAATTTATTTGAACTTCACTGAACACACGCTCTGTTTTCTACTTACTTGTAAATCAAGTAGCTGTTTCGTACTTTCATCCCTCCTTTGATGAAACTCACCATGTTCTCATCCTGCAAAAAACACCGAGTGAAACAAAACTGAGTGGTGACGATCTGATGAAATACCACATCGTCTGAACCGAACATCTGGACGGTGGGCTGATGTTGTTGAAAGCGCACCTGTAGGAAGGTGAGAGCAGCTCTTTGGAGTTGACACTCTGCGTAACACACTTCTGCGTGAAGCTGCACTGCAAACACACAAACACACACAAACACACGAACAGATAATTAACGATCACAGTCAACAAGTAATTAATCATAAAATACAGATGTTGCTAAAAGCAGATGTGACCTTCTTCTCTTTTCCTCCTTCTTCTACCGGATAGCGTCACATTTGATTCAGAAGAACATAACGAAAGCTTCGATACGAACGCAGCCATCTTGCGTTTTGTCTGCGCAGCGATGATCGGAGGAAGGAGCTCGACCAATCACGAGTCAGACTCAGCTGTCGACCGTTTGAGTCATTAAAACCAAACCAACTGGAAAAACTGTGCAAACACCAGTGTGATCAGAACTAAACCAACGTCTGCTTTGAATTTTTAGTTTGGTCCATGTCCCACCTGCTAACATGGAGACGACAGGATTTATGACCTATACTGCAGCCGGCCACCAGATGGCGATCAAGACACTTTCATTTTTTCTTTTCTGGTTTTTCCCGAGAAAGTTTACATCTGTGCAGAATGTTAGCGACCATAAAACCGTTCAGGTGACCTTTGACCTTTCGAGAGACTGTAGAAGTGATTTTAAAAAATAGCCCACGACTCATTCTCAGTTTATCTTTTGGAATGAGGAACTTTTTTCCCCTGTCGTGTCGTCCGAGCCCGTTACCTTCCGTGAGCGATTCTCCGTCAGACTTGTTCGTCAAACCCGGGGATTTCCGTCGAAACCTGAAACATCAAAACAGCATTTCTGTATCATCGTCGTCGTGACACGGGAAGAAACACAGCAGCCGTCAACACACGACACACAGTTTTCTTTATCATGCGCTTTACAGCTGCTTCTCCCGCTCAGTCAAATCGGCCGTGTGATTAGAGACACGCACGTAAATTCAGGAGTCATATAAAAGATGAATGTTTTGAATTTGAATCTAATTAGGATGATCTGAGCTTGTAGAAGAGACTCCAGCGTCTACATTCATTGAACATCCTGACCTCTGACAGACCTCCTGGGCACTCTTCATGGTGTGTCCGGCTCTGGTGATGTCATCGTGCTGGAACGTCATCATGGCCTGCATTTCCAGCACCGTGGCGTAGATGAGAGCGTGGTACATGCTGTCGTTCACTCTACACAGGGAACACGGAGGCGCGGGATCAACACGGTGCACATCATGCTGCGAGCAAACACCAAGATAATGTTTCGGAGGCCAGCGACTGTATTACCAACACATTTTCCTGCTGGGAGAAGATAAGAGAAAACACCTTGCTGGCATTATTCTCCTCCACAGCCCCAGTCAGTCTTTTGCACATTGTTTATTCTGCAGACGAGTCAGTCCTTGGGCGTCAGCTTCAGCAAACACTTAATATCCTGGAGGACTGAAGCTTGACTGCACAGAGTCCACACTCTTGCCTCGGCTGACAGGAAATACACAACTGCAGGCCCCCGAATACTGCTGACATCATGCTAGCCACAACGAATGGGCTGAATTAAATATAACCGGCGTGCAGCAGCACTGGGGTCTGCGGACACAAGCTGTTACCTCGGCCGCAGCATGTCCAGGCTCTCGTTGAAGTGGTTGTTGAGGAAGAGGTCCAGAGCCTCCATGCACTCGTCCAGACACTCTTTCAGGGTCATGTGTGAAGATCTGCAGCAACAGACACGGAGCAGATGCATGAAACTGACACACACACGGTGCAATAACTATTCACACACACTCCACACAGTTAAATGAACGAATGGCTTTGAAAGTATAGTTGTAGTTTTGTGTTACTAGCTCCCTTCCTGTTGTACTGTTGACCCTGTGTTAACTTGCTAAACAAATAAAACTTGAACTAAGCTGCAGGATTGAAGCGTCTTTGAGTTTTAAATGAATCTCACAGCAGATATAATGGAATTAGGGCAAATTAAGTTAAGCGTCAGCTGCAGAGTTTTATTTCTCCTGTGTTGCTGCTGTGAGGAAGAGAGTGTCCACATCTCAGAAAACATGTAACACAACTCAAACCAGCGGCAGCTCCTTTCCTTCAGCTTCTCCACGAGTCCTGCTCCTTCTGGAGAAACGGAGTGTTTAACAAAGTTTAATTCTCACTCTCGTGCGTTTACTCACTTGTCTGCAGCATTCGCTCCTCTCTCGCTGGACATGTTCACTCTCGACACCTGTTGGAAGCTCAGCGGTGCGCGCAGGAAAACCCGGATTCATCCAGGAGCAAAAAACTTCAAGAACCAAAACTTCACAGCCGGAGCAGAGAGTCAGCGGCGGACACGGAGTCACGTTAAAGAGACATCAGGGACTGAAGTTACTGGTGTCGGTCCGGAGGCGAGTGTTTGCGCAATGGAGGCGCATCTGACTCCTCCTCTGACACACCAGTGCCACGCACACACAAGATACACACATCACACACACCACGCACATTAACACAAGATACACACTTCACACACACTACGCACATTAACACAATATACACAC